CGGTAGCGACAAAAACTGCGGGGAACTATGCAAAAAACGCATCTTCGCACGGGCAACCCGTGCGTTAGCCAATTATTCGTATTGGATAGGGGTGTGAAAAGATTTTTTAGTGCTTTCAGCACTCTCCATTTCGGAAAGGCCGGCTAATCTTGAGGGACTCGTACACTTTCCTGTGTTCATTTTTCGTTCTTCAGAGCTATTATCCGTCGTCGGGTTCGTTGACACCTTCAACACCTCGCACGTATAGCACATCGTTGCACGGAGTGAGTTTTATTTTTTCCTATTTGAATAGAGGAAACTGTTAATCGTTTTCGATCCCCAATGTAGATTATTCTGAAAAACTCGCGGACTCGCAATACCTCGTCGAAAGGCAGTCTTCCATCTGGTTTGTGTGATAACAATCTTAGCAAGCTTACTATGGCGGCTTGGCCAAGCGATGCGGAGATTCAGTCTTGCTGATGTGCATTTCTTCGTACAGGGTGAAAAGCAGCCGATCTCTTAGCAAGATTATCAAGACATGAGTTGTATGCTTGGAGCCAAGATATCTGCAGACTGAAGGAGAAAACGCGCGATTGGTTATTTCCGAGGAAGTAGCACATCTACATCGATTACTCGATTGGGTACTAATCTGGTTGTCTCTAAAGATACATTGCACGCACATCGAACAGGTAGTGAAAGTGTGTAATTTTCGATCGAAGAGCCTGGCATAACTGGATTCGAAGTGTGGAAGCATCTTAGTTACATCACCAGCATGGAATACTCACAGTTTGGTATTCTTGCTAATTACTCTTACAAAAAAATTACGTTTACTGATTGTTATGATGAATATGTGGTGGAAATTTGACCAGTACAAGTGATTTCAGAGTCATTTATCGATGGCCAGCTGGTCGCCGTGTTCCACTCGGTCGATATCGCCATGCGGCTCGCCGCTATATTTGCAAGGTTCCTGGGCTTACGACGTGCTTTATCTCCCACCTAGCCTCGAGCGATCCATTATGATCCAGAAAGGAGCTCTTTCACTTGGTGATGATTTCGTCACTTTTTAAGACATATATCCAAATCCACGAGAAGTCAGCTGTAGATTCGCAGAAAGGAGGATGCTGAAAGTTGTAAGCCCGGCTCTGGGACACCAGCTTAAAATTTATAGCCGGCCTTTTTCGCATCTTAGACTCATATTCAGCTTCAGGAAATGCTGCAGTTTCAGGGCTGAGAGGTTTCATTATAATTACTTAGTATGACACCAACATCTCGCAGGCAGCTTGCTAACATTCCGATATCCTGGCTTGTAAACTCTTGCCAGTTTCAAGTTGTTATTCAAAATTACTTGATAGAGCAAGTTAATAACTCGGAATTCTGGTATCTCATTAGAGCTTAGAGTATTCAGCAAGGTGCATAGAATCACTCACCAATCATTTTTGTGCATATGTAACTACCATTCGAGGATTATACTATTACTACAGTAATTAATGTAAGCACCTACTTAAAATTAGTCCTTGATGTGTACCGCAATTCATTATATTACTTATAAAGTAAAATACATGAGTTTGCTGACTACAGGCATCGTTCTGGACGCAGAAGCGGATAGGGGTATCAATGGATGCCAGGTGAAAAATATATGCAGCAAAAAAGCAATCGGACGCGACGGCAGGGTTCAGGTATTAACGAATTCTGTAATTATTCACTACCTTGCTTTCGGCACAAATTTCAGAAAGACCTATATGTAAGCATGATGGCCTGGTCAGCCACTGAAAGGATTCGATGTTGGTTACCACTATTCGGTGTCCGCTCACCAGTCGCAACTGTGCCAGGTCCTTCAGTCCTGAGTCGGAGATCTAAAATGCGAGATACAGTCAGTGTGAAAAGAACATTGACTAATGCAGCGACGAAAAAAATTGCTCTCTTTGCGAGACTGTTTTCAAAATAATAAAGTCGAATTTTTCTTCTTGCCAAATCCAGTTTAGTTTGTGGAATTCGTAATTATAAGATCACTTTCTAAGTGCCAACCCGGACTGATGTGATAACTCAAAATTCCACTTTTGCATTCATAATTCGAAAAGTCATAGGCGGGACTTGTCATGTTGTGGCATATTGTCAGTATCTAAATGCTTTCTGCAGTGGCTGCGTAGGTATTAGCGGTATCATCCCACATGGCGGTCATTTATGTAGCATCATTCCAGGTAAATGATTACATCGTGAAAGTGAATACGGAAAGTCTGCGGAATGTGACGAATTCGAAAGCACGAGCAATATTGAAGCGCACCAATCTGATCGGCACGCACTGCAAGTTTGTCTTTGTGTATTTTTGGTTTAGCAGGAACCATTGGAACCAGCGAGCAGTATGTCCGTTCCATAATGATGGCGTTCCTCTCATTAAAAAAAATGCAAAAAATTGAGTCGTAGGACATACAATTAAGTCTGAAAGAGCATAAAGATAAACAAGAGCTAGGCAGAGGGACGCACAATTTAGCCGGTAGGCAAAAAATTTCGAGGAAGCTAAATTGTTCTAAAACTGTTTGAGTCCAGAAGCGTCAAAGGTTGTTGTATTGAAACGAATGAGGTGCAGAATGAGCGAGAAGTTTTTTGAGTGAGACGATGTTTTTCCCGAAAATGCCACTGTTGCTTTGATCAGCGGTAATTCGTGGTCGAATTTCTTTTCCACATTTTACCTTGAAAACTAATGGGGAATTTGTTAAAAACCAGAATACTTACGCTTTCGTGATCGTAGCAACCTGGTAACAGAAGGTTCGTGTCTGAGGGCTGCCTGAGAAGCTACTGCTTTTATATCTTAGCAAGTTTACTACTAGGCGTAAATCACTGAAGTCTTTTTTCTTTCTTGACTTTTTTTCTTAATTAGTAGGGGGAAATCATCAAATTTTAAACTAATTCTGCAACATACCCAAAGCAATAAGTTTGCTTCTTATGACTTTATGTATTAGCTGTCACGATCAATTATATCATTCATTTGTATCGATTTTAAATTTATCGATGTTTATCAGCTCCATATAAAACCTAAACTTTTGAATACGCAATCAGAATGTTTCAGCATAACTTACATCACTGCCTCGGATGCAAAACTGTGGAAGGAAAGATGCCAGCAAGAAGCAGACTACCAGCTACCAGTGGTTAACAGGCTTTCACCCAAGTAACTAAGTTCAAAAATTGCCAATTAACGATTTCGTATGGTAAACAGAAATAAAATGGATAGGTAATCAAAAGTAAATGACTAGAAGGAAAAATTACACAGAATTAGTAACACGGTAGTGGCACTGTAATGTTGAGCAAAAAATTCAAGAGTTTTCTAAAGGGAGCAAGGAAACACAATGTAGTTTGACAGTTCGCAAAAAGAATGGTAATGGAAAAGACGTAAATGAAAAATGACTAAATAATTTGAGGAAAATGAAAATATGCCGTAAATTTGACACTTTCTTTTCGAAACGAATAGTAGTATTCAATGACGGATAGTGCGAAAAGTCGTTTTGAAACTGACAGTGCATGAAACGACATCAATTTGAGCTGAAATAGAAGCAGCAATGGAACGCGAAATTTGTTTAGAGTTCTCCAAGAATACCAGAAGCGCCAGGTAGTCACTGTGGAGTGTTCCGTCTTAGAATTGTTATGGTGATGCCTTTACATACTGGAAGTAGCTGTGCCAGGCCGTTTGGGAGCAACAATTTAAAAATTATGTAGAAAAAATTTCTACGAATTGCATGAGAATATTGTCTAGATTAAGAAAAAAATAAATTACTTTCAAAAATGCACGGTAGGTGATGAATACTGTAACTTCCAGGGTTTAGAAATAAAATTATTTTCAATTTTATTTATTTGGCGCGCCTTGTTTTTCAGGGTCTTTCCGAAGTTTTACCGCAGTCCGTACATGGAAAGGAAACCCATCAAAAGTGCCGAGAAGGAAAGCTCTTTTGATAGTGATGGACGAAGTTCAGGGCATTCCGGAGCGCTAGATACTTCTGCATTTACAGAAGTGCTTAAGAAACAATCAGTTGGTGCTCTCATTGATGGTACAACTATCGAGCAGTTCGCTTACGATTTTGTGCAGGTAATTTTTTGTGGGCGTTATTACATGATGTTTCACGTCTTTGGTGCTCAATTTCTGACTGTTGAGCTGCTAGGCGGTCTCTCTTATCCTGGTTCTCATGGTGTAATGATGTGGCATTGTACCTCCTCGTGAAGCGTGTGTGTAAAAAGCACTTATAAATTCCGGGATATCCCTCCTTTATGATACTTGTTTTTCCCCGGACTGTCTACTCATTTCTAAGTTATTTGACAGCATTCAAAGACATTGTACTGAATTGCATAGAAATATGGTTGGTTTAACTTCCTGAGCTTCTAGCTACTGTAGTTTTGCGTATTTGATAGATCCGACTGATTTCGTAGTCACTGAGCTGATATAGTTCCATTCTCACTTGGGCTCGATTCTTCATTAATAACTGTAATTGATTAGAAAATTTCTGAAAACCACTATTAACAGACATGTTTTAGTAGTATGAACACTGTTACTGGATCACTATGCTTAGAAGGTTTAGCTTCATTATCTGTGTATTGTTTATATTACTGCACATTATTCGTACGTCTTTTACAAAATATCTCGTTTCTTACTAACCAACCTATTGCAGTTGCTGTTAAACTTGCCACATTAACGCAGCTTCGTAAAGCCGTCCATTCTTTTTCACAGGCAACTGCACTGCGTTTTACACTGCTTGATATCATATAACAATTCGCTTTCTCCTTATCCTCGCCACATAACCAGTTTGACCCTTGAAATTATACACGTACTAGCAACGCACAAAAGTCAGTGACGGGGAGCTGTTTCAGTGTTATCCGGTACCATTCACCATACGCTAGTTCATAGTTTGAAGTTACCGCCCAGCCCTTTTATTTTTATCAGTGTGTTTGGCATCGTCGCGAGCAGAAGAACAGAGGGTGTGAAAAAGAGCACAAAAAAAGAAAACTGTAAAGCTTTCCATAAGATAAGTGAGGTACAAGACGTTTGCAGTCACATGTAGAAGTAAAATCCGATGAGCAGGGCATATTGTTCGCCTCGCTGTGAAATGGTTACGTCTCGTATCAGTAATTGGCATCTTCGGGGAAATTAAACGGCCATTTGGACAACTTTCGGAGCGGTGCATCGAGCAGGGAATGGTATGCAGCGCAGGAGTGAAAGACCTGACATAGCTGCACCGGCTGTGAAGCATCCCAATAATATTAGTTACACTGAAATCCATAGCGATCGCCTAAGTAATCTTGGTAATGAAGAAAAATTGCAAGTGTTATTAGTATCTTGGCCTAGTTTATGTTCAGCACTTTATTAATGGTGTCCGTTTATTTTTAACATATTTCTTCTCGGATACTATAGGTACTGTATATTTTATATTAATAGTATTTCAGTAATACCGTTCAAGATTTTTTTACAGAAATTCCTTTGTATAACTTTTCTCCTGCCAAAGACGCATTTCCTTGAAGGGTGGTCGTTTGATCTCTGGTTGTAAAGGTCCAGTGCATTAGTGGCCTGTCCAGGATTCTTGGCAACCTCAGCCAAATTGGCACAAAAAGCAGCACTTCTTTCACTTTCTTTATCACTTGTTTTGGTTTCTGAGTTCAGCTCCCCTTGACTCACCTGTTCAGTTTGCTAGCGTTATTTATGCTTCAGTTCACAGCTTTCTATCGTCAAAATTTTTGCTTGAGCCAATCCCGGCGTGCATCATTTGCGAGCTTGGCTGGTCCTTTAACTTTTCCACTCACCATCCTGTCACGTCTGCTTAGATTTCGCGTATGCTTATTTGGATAGTGGTCATGTGTTGTCACATTTTCCTGCATAAGCAGATTTCATTTTCGCATTTGACGTTGCAGTTTTGCATTCTTGCCTTCTAAAATATCTTCCTGGTATCTATCACTATTAACATCGATTTGCAGAGTATAAGCTTACTAACTTTATCATCTGTTTGAATAATAGAGATAGTAAGCTTATACTCTGCCTGGTTCTCCAGCATTCTGGCACTCTATTTCAAGCCGATCCTTGTAAAGTTCTTGATTTTCTACTAGAGATAGATATTCCAGTCATGTTTTTCCATAAAAATTTCGACAAAATAAATTTTATTATGGACCCTTCTAACTGGTTCGACTCCCTTATGCACAGAATCTGCTGGGACATCATGCTGTGCCCGTATTCCGTTACAGTACCGTTGAGCAACTGGTAATACCTCCAGAAGCTGAAACGAACCCCAGGATCGCCAACGAGCTGACCATCAGGCTATGTAACATTTTTTGAAACAACTTAAAACTTTACTTTGGTAATTCTCAGTTAGCACTGACGTTCTTTCTGTATTTTGTACCCTTTTTTTAGCGTATCCTGCGCATATTTGACCAGCTAAGCAGTTGCTCTATTCTTTCTTAAGTAAAAATAATTATGCAATGTTTATCATCTTTACAGGATGCTCGGTTGTTAAACACCACTTAATTTGGCTTTTAGAGGGAAAGACCAGTCATCATTCATTATCACTGACGTCGATAAGCTCGCTTAGTGGCAATTATCTACTGGACAAAACCGTAAAAAAAAAACGAATTGCGCCCACTGCCGATTATTTACTTCAAGAAAGACGGAAATTTTTTAAAATTGCATTTTATGCCATGAAAATGGGCGCAAGGAAAGAAAAGGGAAAGGATGCACAAGGACAGTAAAGGCTTGAGGCGACGGCGAACTCACAGAGCAGGATGAGAGGTGGGGGGGGGGG